ATTTGAGGCAGTGGTGTGGCCTTAAAAAGTTTTAATGCTTGCAGAGATTGATTGTTCTCAACTTGTGTGAACGAAGTGCTTAATAGCACCTCTAGACCTAAGCGCTAACTTCACTATGTGATTCCATGCAGGTTCCAGGTGCCTTTAGAGTGGAAAAATACCCTAAGATGTTAAATGCAGTAATTTCCTTTGATTTCAAGAATAGGTGGGTGGCTTTTCTAACAAAGACCAGGATTTTAGATTTTTCAAAATTCAGAAGCAGGCAATTTTAACTGCAATACCAAAATAATGCTGCTGTTGCTCTTTTTAGCATTATGATAGTTTATGATCAGTAAAAAGTAGTATAGGGATTTTGTACCCTGGTGGTTTAGATACATAGAAACCTGGATTATGAAAGTCTACCACTGAACTGAGGTGCAAACACACTCCTACACACTCCTTTCTGAACACCTATTGGGTCAGAAAAGGACTCTTGGATATTGCACCTTGTTCTTAGGGTGGTGATGGAATATTTCTGTATCAGAAAGAGGAAATGCCTGTCAAAAGTTGGCTTCTAATTTTCCCCCAAAGGGCATTCCTGGAAATTGAGTCAAAGGCATGTCTATGGAGATTCTCATCAAGGTCATGGCTGTTCCAAAGAAGACATGAAGAAGCTTGTTGGATGAGAAGTGCAACATCTTCAAGAAGAGTCAACGGCATGCTTAAAATCTAGAAAGGCCGTGAAGAGGGTGGAGTAAATTTTTGTGCAAGGTAGTAGGGCACCAAAATGCAATCCAGGTAAGGAGGGCTTGGACAATGATAAATCACTGCCTGAAAATCCAGTTCTTTTCAATTGGACTGACCCCTCTAATTTTAACAGACAATTTTTTTCTTCTTCCTGAAAGCGGCTGAAGAGCAGACATTGGCATTATAAGGCTTTCTATGATTCCTAATTTCTTTAGGATATGACCAAACCGAACAACTGCTCAAAGAATAAGGGATGTGAAGTTTCAGATTAAGTTAATAGTATGTTCTAACATTGCACGTGTTGGATTGGATTAATAAGGGTATTTCGGAACCAGCAAGCTCTTTCCAAAATCTAACTTCCTGAGCTGTGAATCGCATTTTTCAAAGCTAGCAACAAAGACATCTTACCAAGGCAGATATTCCCAATTCCCATTAACTGAGAAAACCTACCCATGACCAAGGGATCAAAATAATTTTGCATGCATTATTATTATAAATTCTACAGGAAAATCAGATCTGCTTACATTCTGCTCCTGGTACATAGATAACCAGGAAGGCCAGAAAATTTCTAAACCCTTTATCAGTTCAGTAGCTGAATTCATTTAATACATGCTACCTTTTTTAGGTGTGTGTGTGTGTGTGTGTGTGTGTGTGTGTGTATGTACGTATGTATATGTACATACATACACTTCATAGATTGCAATAACTTAATTTACACATGCACATGTAATCAACACATCATTGTAGTAAAATACAGTATGTTACATATTTATCTGTTTTATCTTTGTTATCCTAGTATTTTATCAAATTTGGCTGATTATTTACCAAAAAACAGCATTGCTTTCTTTGATTTGCTAGTATATATGATTGTGAGAGGAAGGTTTATATATCTTTCAGATTTATGTAACTGCCCCTCTCCTGAATGTGTCTCTGGGCAGTGTACAACAACAACAACAAAAAAACAACAACAATTAAATCAAGTCTTAAATAATCATTAAAAAAATTAAACCAATAAAAAGCAATTACATGTAAATATAAATAGACCATTGGAGAATGCTCCAAAATCTCACACAAAATACAGCCATTTCGCAGCTTCCGTTTCCATGAGATCCCTAAGCCTATTATAAATATAACACCTAATATTGAAATATATGATTTTGATACTTTGGCTCTAAGTTTCTACTTAACACTATGACTTCCAGTAGTATCAAACCCTATGGGGAAAAAACTCACAAATACTGTGATTCTTTTTACTGGAGGAGAATCATAGAAAAATATGGATTTCTGCATTGTACCACTGAACTGCTTAATCTTAATGTTATTTATAAGATCCCAATTTTATTTTGTAGTAAGTTGAGGACAGTACACTAAAAGGCATGAAATAGATGTATTAGGTACCTGCAAGGATTAAGACACACACATACCGTAAATATGCGACAAAAAAAATCTTATCCCCACCCAGTGGTGGGTTCCGGATTCCATGCAACCAATACGGTTGCAACGGGACACGGTGTCCTCCATATGAATGTGCACACACATGTAGCGTGCATGCATATACACACGTCTTACCATCCAGCAACGACTCCATGAGCCTCCAGCTGCTCAGCAGAGCGTTGCGCAGGCGCTGAATGAACAGTGCATGGAAGCGCCGAAGAGACAGGTAAGGAGCGCGGGCAGGCCCTCTGGAGCACCATACCAGAACGGTACCCGGGGCCTACTGCCTGTAACCCACCACTGTCCCCGCCCCATCTTGGCTATGAAAAGGATATTTCCCCTATGTCAAATTGAATGAAACATTGAAAGAAGAGTTTTGGCATGCAAGCACTTCTATGAGTTAAGTGCTATTCTGTTTTATGATCATTTAATAATATAATAATAACCATTAATTTAGGGTAATCCTTCATAAGGAAAATATGAAAAATGGATTGTAAATGGTATTCCAACAAAGTAACTTAACCACATTCAAATTCATTTGTTGCTTCCAACCAAATTGATTTTCTATTATACTGAAAAGTTCTGCATTAAACTATTTAGGAAAGATAATAATTAGAAATAATAATTAGAAAACTGTAAGAATGTAGTGGTTTATAGTCAAATTTGGACAGGTAGTGTTCTTTAAGTCTTTGAAGGAACAGGGTAACAAACTAAAAGATTAGTTTGTTACCCTGATCTGCCAGGTAAATGATAAACTTAAAAAGCCAACAACTGATTTGAAGGGGCCCTCTTTAAAAATATTAAAATAGTTTAACGAACCTTGACAGTTTCTTTATTGGGTGTTTTACAATGAATTTAACTTGTGTATCTCCAACACTGAGGCTACTAATTTGAGTTTACAACAGTTCTGATTCAAATTGATAGAGACAAAATGTAAAAAACAGAGGATGAGTTTTAAAAAAAGTTTATGTACGAGAGGGAAAAGACAAATCTTTGGAATGCCATGCTTTTATTTAAAATTATTGGCAACCCTGAAATTTATCCCTACAATGAAAAATAGGCAGTCTTTAAATGTTGGACATTCATTTAATCCCACACGCAATTTAATCCAGAATTACTATGTTATATACTCCATAATATACACAAGGGTAAAGTGAATTAAAAGTAAATGCTTTTTATTCTTGCCAACTTTTATATTTAGAGTATAATTGCTTACCAATTCCAGTTCCACATATTTTATATATTAGCATAAATTACATTTAATTTTTCCTCCATATTTTACCAAATAGTAAATACCCCAGGTTTAAATGGACAGGGGTATAATTGACAAAAATTGGAGATTAGGAAACTAATTTGCTATACATGCATTTTGATGTCTGTAGGGATTGCTGCCAATGAACATAATCAAAGTTTAGGAGGCTAAAAAATAAAACATTCATAATTTATAAAAATTAAATATAAAGAGAACCACTAGTTACCCTTGTGGTTTCTATAGCAATAATTCCCATAATTAACAGGCTATTCTGCCTCAAATATATCGTGGATGTATTATAATGGAAACTACATAAAATATGGGCAAATTCTCCCATCTGTACATGCTTCTGTTGAGCATGTCTTCTGTGTAAATGTCAGATTTAGCTGGATTGTACTGCATGTTTTAGATTAATGATTGGTGCCTTCATCAGACTCAAGCACTAGATCTGATTTAGATGTAAGAGATTAGGCACATCTCAAATTTGTAACTCATTGCGATTCAGAATATGCAACATTCTCAGGTTGCCTTTATAAAATCTTCGCTGCAAGTAACTGGCTGAAAATTAACTGGCTGTGTTAAGGAGAAAATTCTATTCTTGAATACTCATCTAGTTTTGTATAGCAAAACAATTAGCTTATGGCTGGTCTTTTGTATTCGGGTCTTTTCCTGTGTAAGATTGAGATTGTCTTGGCAACGTTTCAGCAAGGTCTCACTCGCCATCTTCAGGGTGGGTTTGGGGCTTAAAGTGTGATCGGAGCTGCTGTCTTTCTATAAATCTTGGGGGGGGGGATGGAGTGCTGGCTTTGTTTCAGTAAGTGGAATGATTGGTTGGGTGGTTGTATCATGATTGGTAGATTGGTGCTGGCTGTGTGTCTATTATTGTTGGCTGTGTGTCTATTCTACAGGACATGAAATTAATTTTGAAGAAACCAGGTTACTCTCCAAAACAGAACACTTCAACAAGAGAATAATTATGAAAGCTATCGAAATAGAGAAACACCCCCACAACATGAATAAACGTGATGATACCTCGCGCCTACCAGACATCTGGAAACCAGCCCTAGTCAACAAACGAGCCCCACCCACCACCCAGGACATTACAACACGAAACAACAATAGACACACAGCCAGCACCAATCAACCAATCATGATGCAACCACACAACCAATCATTCCACTTACTGAAACAAAGTCAGCACTCCACGTCCCCTCAAGATTTATAGAAAGACAGCAGCTCCGATCACACTTTAAGCCCAAAACCCAGCCTGAAGATGACGAGCGAGACCTCATTGAAACGTTGCCAAAACAATCTCAATCTTACACGGGAAAAGACCCAAACACAACAAGACCAGCATATATCTAAGCTTTGAAACCAAAGCAAATTAGCATGCATTGTTATCCATTACATTTGCCTTAATTAGAAGCAATTCCAGAAAAACTGTCATTTGTTTTGCATTTTGCAAGGCTGCAATACTGTTGTAGCATCTTCCTCTATGAGGCAATGCAAGCACAAAAAAACTGGTATGTATAACAAAACCAAGACTAATCACTTAGTTATTAATGGTCAGATCAGTTATTACCATATGCCTGCAGCTCCTCAGGTAATGTCTATTTGCTTTAGGGGGCTCCATCTGCACCTCTTTCAACTATAAATTGATGTTTCTTCTGTTTTGCAACTAAATGCCGTGTAATTCCCAATGCTCCTCCTTTTAAAAAGCGTACAAAATTGTCTCCAACCAATGGACCAAGTGCAAAAAGATTGGGTTCCTTTATACACTCATATGAGTATGGATCAATTTCAATAGGGTTGCCCTTGCAAGTAACTGGTTCATTTGGATTATGGCATATGCTCTGGCCTTGATCCTTTAGGAAGCATAAGTTAGGATGTGAACCTATTAAGACTACTGCTAAAGAGAATTTTAAGATCTTCTTTAATCCCGTAGAATTCTGTAGGATACACTTCATATCAGGCTGAAAAGAAAGAACTTGATGTTCAGGTAAACTGGTATAAGCAGGATGCACATTGTAATCCAGAGTAACTGACTGAGTACACATCATATGGTAGACTTTATGATATTCTGGATAAAGTTTTTTTGGTAGCTGTTTGAAAATTAAACTTGGGTCAGTAACCCTCCTACGGAATGCATGAATAATAGGTACACTGTTATTATAGGCATACAGAACTGCATCTGCTGCTGTGAGTCCACCACCTATAATTAAAACTGGATCTGTTTTCCCATGTAATATTCCTTTATCTATGGCAGCTACAAAATCAGATATGGTATGGAGCACAAAAGGAAAGTCTTCTCCTTCAACTTGCAATCGGCCAGGAGCATCAAACGTTCCAGTGGCGAGAGCCACATTCTCAGCAAACAAACAGAATGGCATATGAGAGCCATCTGCGGATCTCTGATAACCTCTAATTTCCCAGTTTCTTTTGATCAGTGTAGTCTGCCCACCTTGTTCCTCTATCTGCAAAGGGCTTTCACTTTCACAGTCCTGATCACGATAAAACTTTGACACAGATGTTATATAAGTATTTTCTCTGAAGTTTTTCTGTAAGCCCATGATTTTAACATAGTGCTTGTAATAATTTGCAACTTCCTCTGGCAGAACTCTATCACACTTTATATTTCTGAAAGAAGAACAGATCAGAAAATTATGTACATCTGATATATTTGGAGCATACAAACACCACTCAACTCTAAATATGATTATACTATCCCGTAAAGAAAAAAAAAGGGAGGGGGGGGGAATTGTTTTATTTTAAGTACATTTATTTTTTACTATCTTAAAATTTTCCACTAGGTGGAAACCTACAGTGTGAATTCCATTGAGTTGGAAACCTACAATATCTCTACATCCAGGCATCAGTTCTTTCTTTTTACAACAATCAGCATAAAAACGTTACCAAGCTCACCTTCGTTTAGTAGCAGCCCAATCTTTAAATGCGTATCCAGGTAATTCCATCCAGTTTCCAAAGCTGATAGTTAGCATAGAACCTTCCATAGACTATGGAAAAATAAAATCAAAACTTTATTCAAAATATAATTTTACTTTTCTATAACAATAGCATTACATTTTGAAGATTAATTTTAAAACAAACTGAAATATATATCATATATTATGTACCAAGACCAATTAATTTAGTATATTATTTGTTTGGCAAGTTTCCAGAGTGACTCAATGAAAGCATATTTATTCAGTTTGTTATGATGATATTTAGAATAAAATGAAGTTTAAATTTCTAATTACATTACAAGTTATGTTCGACAATGTAATCACAGAAAAAAAGATATCACCTCCTGACATAAGTTAATAGTCTGCCTTTTATCACCATGCTTTTATTTTGGTAGGATTTATTTTGCTACTTTCTTAGTCTTATAATGACTATCTTAAGCTGATACTATCCAGTGATTATTGTTTGTAATAAAAGGAGGACTTCAGGACCTAAGAGGTTTTGGTCGCTTAGTAACTAATTGATCCAAATAAAAAAAAATTAGGATTAGGATAAAAAATAAACAATCTTCCCTATTATAAGCCTATGAAAATGAGGACAGAAAATCTGTTAAACAAACTGCTAAGCAATCAGAGTTAATGTTATTTTTATGGATGATTAAAAATACCAGGCTATTCTTGAAATGCTGGGAGCATAGTAGTTCACATGCTGAGAACAATCTACCAGTCCGTGTTCGGAACCTGAGTGCTGCTATGTGGCAGGGTGAACTCCCGTCATTCGTTCCATCTTCTGCTGACCTAGCAATTCGAAAGTGGTAATACGAGTAGATAAATAGCTACCACTTTGGTGGGCTCATTAACAGGGACATGAAAGAAGCCCCCAATGGATGTCTCCTGGGCAACGGTGATGTCACCAGTTAATTAATCATTTTAACCCAGAAGTGCCTCAGGGCTTCCAACATGAATACAACAACGATGGAATGCTGTACATGATAGAGCTCAAAAAATATAAATGGGCATTTGCTATAGAAGTCATAACCAATCAGAAGTCTTATATAGTAAATGCACTTAGCTGTTTAAAAAGTTAAAGTTCTTCTTACATGCCAAGCACCACCAGGTGGTCCTTTGCCAAGCACTATATGAGGAATGTAGTGATGTGGTTCAAATTTCCACTGAAGAACCGGTGGGTACTTAAATCCAAAATCAGCTTCAGGATGAAGCAAAGTGTCAAACAGAACTGCAACAGGATTTGAAGAGCGCCCTTCCAGACCTTCAGCTAAGTACTCTAATTCCTGATTTGAAAAGATAAGATTTAAATGGTCAATTCAACTTTTCCTCAGAGTACAACATAATGGAAAAAACACCTTGTTTCCCTTGCACATCAGTTATATGAATCTTCTTACAAATTATTTGAACCTATAATTTATTTACTTCCTGTCTGCAAATTCTTATCAAGATTGATTTGTCCTTTGATTTTAATTAGCTTGGAAGTGGGGGGAGGGAGAATAACCCCAGAATATATAGACAGCATGAAATTGGAAACATGTCTCCTAACTGGCATACAATTGACTAGTTTGTGTTGGGAGTGCATTAGAGTCAAGATTTAGCTGTATATATAGCTAAATATGGAGAATGTGTTATTAATATATTATAATTGAACAATTTCTTTTGGGCAGCTTATTTTTCAAAGCTGACATTCATTTTAATGACATTTTTATGTCTGACACACCATAAAAGTGTTTTCTGAGCCCTACTATTTAGTTCACATTACATTAATAGGTCACAGGTTTATTAATAGCCACTAATGGTATCTAAAATGTATACCTTTTGGAAATAAGAATTTAGGAAGTTTCCAAAAGCCTTAGATGTACTAGTGTGGTAGTAAGCGAAAACCTGGTATGATCTTTGGGAAAATTTTATGTATTTATTGCATGGTACACGTCTGGTATCTTGCATTTAAAGTGTACTTTATATCAACTGCAATTGTAAGAAAGAATAAAAACTACTAGCAGCTTACAACACAAATGGAATCAATATTTTTGATATATAATATGCAATCAAATATGACATAAAATTAAATACATGTTTCATAGTTAAGATATATGTTTTTGATTAATAAGCATATAAGCGTAAGTTTCGCATTTGTTGTACCTGATCAACAATAGAAAGTTGAATAGCTTCTTTTAACTTATTATACAAAATAAGATTTGGATGTTCAGCTTCGGGGGATAAATATGGTCTATATCCAGATAACATGTAAGAGAGGCATATTCCAGAAGGTCCATTACCTGTTTGTTTTTGAAAAAAAAGTAACAATCTATTTATTGAATTAAAAGAAATGTACATATTACATCAAAATCAAACATTTTTAAACCTACTGATTTTGAAGTAAATGCTTTTCATTTACAATTTCTTCCATAAAAATTTGGATAAAAACCTGGATTTTTCAAAACCTCACATTTATCACTAGACTTTCAACGTTCACATTTTATACATTATTTTAATAATTTTTAAACTGCTATTAAAAAAATAAAGAAGTAAAGTATATAACAAATTATTTTTATTATTTTGTACTAAATAATTAATAAGTAATTGGGACTAATTAGTAATCTAACTAATCTCATTTCCTAGATGATCTTGAAAAGTAAGAAAAAGCAGATCAGTTTAATTCGAACCAGCAAGAAAGACAGAAAGTGTAAACGATTGAAATTAAAACAAAACAGATGGTAATGAAAAACAGCTTCCATCTTGTTGGCAAGAAATTACATTGTGTCACCAGGAATCAAATTTTATCTGTATATAGTATAGACAAATGTAAATACTCTTTACCCCTCAGAAGTATTTCTTGACTTATGACCGTAGTGAAGCCTGTCCATCATGGTCCTAAGTTATGACAGTTGTAAAACAGGTTCATTCATGTGATCCACCTAATTTGGCAACTTTTTGATGATCGTTAAATGAATGCCTTAAGGAAATCAATGGTTCACTATACTGTATTTTTTCTGAAAACCACTAAATGTTGGTTTTCTGCAAAGCTGTCATAAAATATGGCCACATGACTGACACTGCAAAAATGCAGCCCATTGTTGAGTGCCTGAAGCTCAGTTACATGACCGGGGGGAGTCTGGGTCGAAACTATTATCCAGATAAGTTTGTTGTAACTTTGACCAACCACTAAATGTCAACAGCTACCTATATAACTTTACAAAGAGGTATTTCAAACTAATTATTCTGAAGGTCTCTTTAAGATGGATTAATAAGCAATTTCAAAAAGTAATTAGAAAGTGAGGCTTGTGAATTTAGTATCCTTTAAAAAGGTCTACAGTGATTGCAAGAAGATGGCTAATCTCTTAGTCTTTTGATGCTTAAGTCCACAGGAGATCTCTTACATTATTCTTCTCACAAGAAATACCTATTAATAGCACATATAGGCAATCGTCCGTCTTCTCCTTCAGAGAGGTTCTGAAGAATCCATTTACTTACCAGTACTTTGGTCTTTGCCATAACTGTCAGCTCTGCTTTCATGAAGGTGTCTTCAGTTCACTATTACTCCCCTAGAAGTCCCTCCCCGGTATCAAGTTTTATAACAGTTTTAACTTCACTAATTAATAATGATATTTGACATTCATCAAATTATTGACAATTCAAATAACTTTTGCTTCCATATTAATGGACATATACTAAATTTTCTTAAGCATCATTTGCAAGAAGTATCTTGGAAGTATTGTTCAGATATACAACTTCTCATGAATGAAGGCAACTAAAAATAAATACAAAAATCCAAAGAGTTCACCATTACAATCAGTCAGTACATGTCTGACCCATTTCTTTTTTAATTTCCCCCCTTTCAGAATGGAGAGATTTATATAAGCAATATCTTCAGGCAATCCCTTTTGTACCTGATCTTTTTTCTCCTTCTCTCCTCCCAGAATGGAGAGATTGGAGAGGAAGAGATGACAAGAGACCAAAGAGCCACACAGCTGGCACTAGTACATTCCTTTCTGTATTCTTTATTGTGTGCCTACTTACTCTCTAGTAATCCCTTCCTCTTGAATGAATGTAAATGCAAACATTAATTCCCTTTCTGCTAATTACCCCAAAGATGAGGTGAACATTCCAAAGGGCAGGGGAGTGGGTGGGAAAAGGAAGCGGAAGTAAACTGTAAACACAGTCACAATCATGTGACTTCACCCCAGCAACTGTTTTAACTGTTTTACTTAAAAATAAATAACTGGTCCCAACATTGGTCACTAAATGAGGATTACTTGAACCAGCAGGGCAGAAAGTGGATCTTGAGGGATGATCTGAAATGAAGAAGTGTTGAATGGAAAAAATACTTACACATTTGTCTTACATTCATTCCAAATTCTGCACTATAAAGCAGATTTTTAAAATCTAAAAAGGGCTTACTTGGCTGAGGTCAACTACATGGATAAAAATATTTTTGTTTTTAAAATTCTTAAAATCTGCTTTGGAATCTTTGTAGATGTTAAAAAAATATTACATTTCAATATTGCCCATAATCTTACTATTTTACAGATACAATTCAAAAGGTAATGAGGCTAAGGGGTAGAATATAGAATCATAGGACTGGAAGGGACTTCAAAGGTCTTCTAGCCCAACTGCCCTGCTCAAGGCAGAATAATTTATACCATCCGTCTTTTTTCACAAACCTCAATGATGGAGCATCTCCAATCCAAGCTATTCCATTGATTAATTATTCTCATTATCAGAAAATTTCTCCTTTCCATCCAGGTTGGATGTTTATAGATTCTTAATCATCCGGGACATGATTTCCCCAAAGGTGTTTTTCAAAGGCAATTGGACTTTTTTTGTTTTTCCTTGAAAATTTCCTTTTTCACTTTTTCAACAGTTCTTGCCTTTGAAAAAGTAGCTTTGAGTTCTAGTTGGATCTCTTTTTAACAAGCTTCCATCCATTACTTCTTGTCCTGGCCTCTGGTGCTTTCGAAAAGAAGTCAATCTCCTCTTCTCTGTGACAGCCGCTCAAGTACTGGAAGATAATCATCATATTCCCGCTATCCTTTTCTTTGAAAGTTCCCTCAATTGTGCATCATAAGATTTAGCTTTCAGATTCTTTATCATCTTTGTTGCTCTTCTCTGCATTCTTTCTAGGGCCTCAGCAACTTTTTTTTATTATGATCACCAGAATTATACACAGTATACTTTGCAGACAAAGTATATACACTGGCAAAAAATTATTTCTGTTACAAAATCTTTTTCAATGTCACGATAATTATATGTCAGATTAGGTTTATGAGCTAACAAGGATACACATAAGTCAAATTGATTAAGTCCGTTTCTATATGATTTAATAATGGAAATCCACTACGAGCTAAGCATGAAACATATTTGAGAATAACTCACCGATTATTACTATAGGCAAAGTCAACGTTGGGTCCACAGGTAGTGTACTTTCTTGTAGTAATGGCATAGTTTTAGCGTTGGTCCCAAGATTGTCACCAAAATACTGCACTAAGGAATTCAAAAAGCATCCTTCAGTTTCTGGACTACTGTAATTTCTATTTAAAAGAAAATGAAACAAATCAGTATTATAAAATATCCTTCACTGTGTATACTTCTTTAACTTATGCTGATTTGTAAATATAGCATTTTAGCCATATGCATATGCAAGTTATCCCCCCCCCCCAACATAATAACAGTAGAGGTGACAGATTGTTGAGATTTCAATCTTGAGACAGATTGGTTGATGGTCATTTTTAAAATTAGTGAATACCAAACTGTGCTTCTCAACAACTATCAAAGTAATCCTTACAAGATGTTTGGGGGGTCTTTTAAATAAACAACACATCTTGCGCCTGGATCCACAACAAAGAGGAGGGGGTGCATTTTCACTAATTGACTCTGGACGTGTTATTCCTCCCCCCCCCCAAACCCATTTGAGGGGCATCTATTTTTTTTAAAAGGCATTCGAATATATAGCTTCGAACCATAAATTTCTAAACATATACCTTACACTCCTACGCGGGCCGAGAAGAAGGAAGTGACAGAATGAAATACGATTAACACGATTTAGTCTTAAAACGTTTTCAATCGATAGACAACA